ATATTAAATTAATTTACTATACTATAAATAAAATTACAATTGGAATAGATCACTATTTGATTATTTTGCCAACAATCTTGAAACAGTTCAGTGGCAACGCCGATTCCACTAGTTTTGACAGCAAGTGTAGATAAAATATTTTCAACTTTGAGCTATATCAAGAACGAACTTTGAAGTTGAATTCACGAGCAGTTTGCTAATGGTTGTTTAGTGAGATCCATTGGAAATGACTTACTTAAGAGTGTAGGCAATAAATGTATTTTGTGTTTCTTTCAGAATATGAAAATTCGTCATGATTGTTTACGAAGATACCGATTGTATTTGTCGGTATTTTTTATATGAAAATAAATTATTTAGATATTATTAATTCAATTATATTTATTAAATATCTATATATTTATAATATGAAAAGAGGACAAGGGTAATTTCAAATCTTGCTCCTTCACTGCATACATTGGGGACGTTAGGAGATAGAAATCAACATTTCTTCTTTCCTCTGAAGACTAGTGAAGATAATAGAGACCAAAAGCCTTCCACCGCCTATTGTCATTTATGGAACCTCTTCTCATCACCACCACGATTCTCTATAGAAGATGATTGTCGAGTGACGAAGGGGGAAAGAGACTAAGTATACAAGGTAATTTTCCTTCTTTATAAATTAGGGTAAATGCTACATTTGGTTACTGGGATTACTAAATCATGTTATGTTTAGTCACTAGAAAAAATTAATATCAATTTTGGTCACTCGAATTACTAAAACATGTCACATTTAGTAACTCTCCCGTTAACCTCCGTCCAACTCCGGTCGCTCGAATTGACTTTTTTTTATGAATGTCACTCGAATTACCGAAACATGTCACATTTAGTCACTCTTCGTTAGCCTTAGTAGAGTTGGACGGAAACTAACTGGAGAATGACTAAATGTGACATGTTTTCGTAATTCGAGTGACCAAAATTGATATTAATTTTTTCTAGTGACTAAACATGACATGATATGATTTAGTAATCTCAGTGAAAAAATGTCTCATTTACCCTTATAAATTATATGCATAGGGATTGGAGTTTATTGTGAGAATGGAAGGTCGGAATCTTTTTCTACACCGCTGCGTCTAAACGTGGTTGTAGGTGAATGCATGGGTCCAGAGCTTCATCTTTGTGTGTGTTAGCTTGTTGCATGGTATTATGTTTCTACTGGGAGAGTGTGATGAATTGAAAAAGGGGGCTTCATAAACAAGGATGGAGGTAGTACTAGTAGTAGTATGATGAGGGAAATGGTTATTTAGTGGGTTGAAAATTTAGTGAGAGGTAGGTGACAATTCACATAATTTCCAAGTATATCAGAAGGGGAAAAATCAATAGTGCACCTGTTGAGAATCAGATTTTGGACCTTCACCTTGAATTGAGAGCCGAGTCCAAACCATTAATCTAAATGGTCTGAATTTTTTATATGTTGTAGCCATATGAATCTAGTTCAAATAGGAAAAAGAATGACTAAAATTGGTTAAAAATTGAGAGAGAAATTTCCAAAATAGTGAACTGGGGTATGGTTACATCCTAGTCACGGCCGGTAACTAAGGCATGACCGCTTTTGGCATAAAATGTGCAATTAGGTCACTAGCATGCACGACCTTGACTTGGCCGTGATCTATACAGATTTTACCATTTCATCCTGTAACATTTTCATTTTGCATGTATTTGAGTTGGTTATCAACGGTATTGATCCCCTACTTGTTCTAAGTGAGTAAATATGGTTGTGTTGATTATAAAGGTAAGGAGCAAGTCGAGGAATCCTCAAAAGATAAAGGGCTTGCAGATTAGCAATTAAACTGTGAGTAAACTCTAACCTATTAATCATATTGGATACAAATATGGTATCCGGGTCATGAAGCGGCCCTAATATGGAACATTAAATGTGAGATTGATAGAATACTATGAATATATGTGTGCGAAATGAAATGTTTATGTGATATGAGATGGCCTAAAAGGCGATATTGTAATACTGAAAAGCCTATTAGGCGACGCGGGAATAATGTATGGCAGGAATGGCTATACGATGATACTAGGATAGTCTAATTGGATATCCCGTGATTACTGGAAAGCATGAAAGGTGGAAATGTGATATTGAGAAGCCTGTAAGGCGATGATGTGCTTGTAAGGAATAATGAATGTGATTATGTGAAAGTTATGAATACGAGAATATATATATGGTGCCTTCTATGGTACCCCGGGTGAAATCCGGGGTACCACATACCTTGAGTATGGAAACAGTATCTAGACCTCGAATTAGCAGGATTTTTGGGTATGATACTATACCCTAACCCTTAATGAGTGAATCCTAGGTCCTAATTATCTAAATCATAATCTATAAACCCTAAGATGATGCATTCCTTTTTGTGTCTATATTTGGACGAATCATAACCGTCGATTATTGTTTCTAATTAAATTGATCTTTGAGTACAAGATTGGGAGAATTAAGACCTAGATTTTGATCTTTAAGGGTTAGATTATAGTATCATGTCCGAAAGATCGATCAATTCAAGGTCTAGATAGTGTTTTCATACTCAAGGTATGCGGTACCCCGGATTTTACCCAGGGTACCATAGAACTCGCCATATATATATATATATATATATATATATATATATATATATATATATATATGTGTGTGTTAAATGATTGATGATATTACTTGCTACTTGTTTACTGACTAACTAAAGAATTGTTTGATCACCTAAATCAAACTTAATGGTGCTCTGTCATGCATTCTTTGAGATCTGATACCGTGGCTTTATGCCTAGCTCTTTGGGAGAGCGATACCAGGTCTCGTCATTGACGATGCTTTATGCATCTATTGGCGGTGCTTAATGCATCTATTAGCGATGCTTTATGCATCTATTGGCGATGCTTTATGCATCTACTGGATATACCCGGGGAGTGCATGACTTGGCAAAGTAAAGCCTAAAAGACATGCAATCTGGCTAACCTTATGTGTATGTGTGTGTAATGGGGTATGTGTATATAAATGTGTGTAATGGGGTGTGTGTGGGATTTACTATTGAATTGTATATGGTTACATGTCTGGAATGCATTGGCAAAGTGAATACTAGAGTTGGCGGGGTTTGACTTCACCAAATATTATGTTTGTATTGATATTGTTGATAGGTTAGCTTTTACTCATTGAGGTGATGTCTCACCCCGTCAAAAAAATTCCCCAGATTAGAAGTTTTAAACTAGAAGTCCAGGAAACTCAGCAAGGCTCAGCTCGACATCAATGAGGTGGGATGGTGGACTCAAACACCGATATGACTTGTTTATAGTATTTTGAGAGAAGATGGTCTTCTCTACTTTCATGTGTATTGAAGTTTTAAAAGTTTATGTAAATTATGGTTTGGTTTGTAAACTAAGGCAGAACTGTAAAAGGTTTTAATTGGTATGATCTTGTGAATGTTTTAAAGTATGTATGGGTGTTACAACCACCATCACATAGTCTTCATTGCTAGAGCCCAGGAGCTGCTTAATAGACAACAGGTTGTCTCTGTACCCACATTTATAGAAAAGGTAACAATTGTGATGATTACTTAGCGAGTAGGGGACATTCTATGCCCTTGGGTACCCATTTTATTTCTCTTGCTTATCTTATTCTGTATAACTGGACTATGTACGATTGTAAGGGGATTTTCGAATCTCAGGTGGTTTTAAATGAAAGGTATGGTGCAAACTGCATCCATTTGATAATAATAATGGTAGTAGTAATAATAATAATAAACTTTTAGTTGTGATTGTTGAGATAGTTGAGTTGAGGTTGTTTTGTCTCAGCTTCTAGCTTATGTGACATACACAATCACACATACTAAACGTTGCATTTTACAATGTATCAAATTCGACAATACATGTATAATATTATTCATGCATATTCACAATAATACATCTATTTAACAACCGGCACTTCCAAACGACCCATACAAAGACGTGAAAAATACAAGTTGGACGAAGTTCAATCGGAAAAAATTGCGTTACAATTTACAAGTTTTTATTTTTATAATGGTGAAAATGCATTGAAAAAAAAAATCTCATACAAAATGAAACGCACTAGGGTTGGCTATTTGGTCCGGATTTTTTGGTTTTACCCGAAACCGGACCGTATAACCTGGACCGAGACCGGATAGTAAACAATCCAATCCAATCCAATCTTCGGGCTTAGATTTGAGGTAAAAAAACCGTTCGGGACCGGATCAAAAACTGGATAAAGACCGGATAAGAGAGCTCAACACCAAAAACTTAAGGGTAATTTGCATAAACGGTCACAAACCTTTGCACTTAGTACAAAAGTTAACCAACTCCTCACCCTTTAAGGCCTTATGCCACTCAAATCCCCACAAGCTCAATATAAAATCAAGACCGAATTGGGACCGGACCAGGTCAAGACCGGACTGTATCCAATCCAATCTTTGGTCCTTATATTTTCGAAAAGACCGGACTGGACCGGATCAATTTGGACCAATTTAACCGGACCGGACCGTATAGCCACCCCTAAAACGCACCCCTTCACCAGAAGTAAAAGATATGCAAGCCGACATACTTTTCATTGCGGTGATACACTCATACACATATGAATATCATAGTCCATAATATAAAATATTGATATTCAAATTGAATATAGCTCGACACATTTTTATTGATTAAATAAATTCGATAAGAGGTCGTTTAGAAGACATAATTACAATTAAAATTATAAAAAAATATATAATTAATATGAATTGTACATTGTGAAGCTTACTATTAATTCATTAATCGATCAAAATCGAAGGTTTTAAATTAAAACGTTTATAGTACATACATAGTTCAGTTTTGAAACGTTTATCACACATTAGGTGTGTACTTTTTCAGATATTTTGGATATTGGCAAAATAAATAATGGGACGAGACTCACGAGAGCGAAGTCCTACGTGGAAATCGTCCTTTGCTTTACTGGACTGGAACGATATAATAATGTTGCCGTAGCCATAGCCGACATTCAGAGAGCAGTCATTGTGCTTTCCCTCACCAGCACTTCTTCATTCTCCAAAAGGAAAACAATTTTACTCATCACACTTTAACGCTCCCCAGCTGATCAATTCCGCCAATCATTCACCACAGAACCCCCTTTCCTCCGACGATGAACAACGGTACACCGCCGCCCACGCGATCTTCCAATTCCCACCGTTTGACCTTTTCTTCTGAATCGTTTTAACATTTTTTTTGTTTGTTTGACTATTTCTACCAGCAGAAGGCGGCAACACGAAGGTCGTCCTGACACGAGCACTCGCGGCGTCGTCCCTGATGTTCATCGCCGCGGCCGCCGCCGGGTACTACCGGCGGAGGCCGGGAGCCAGTAGCAAGCGAGTCGTCCCGAGGCTGGACGATGCAAGGACGGAGTCCGGCAGCGGCGGCAGAAAGGTGGAGAGGTTCTCGCACTACGTGGCGAGGCAGCTAGGGTTCTCAGATCCGAGCGAGTGCCCGCAGCTGTGCAAGCTGGCGTACGACTACCTGAGGAAAATCGACGGTTGCGAGGACAACATCTACGATTATTTTGCAAGATCCGAAGGCGGCAGCGAGCTGGAGAAATTGCTGTCCGGGAAGCTGGTGGAGGAGCTCGAGAAATGCATTTTGAGCTACTTTGCTTTCCACTGGAACCACGCCCCTTCCCTAGTCTCTCAGGTAGGTTTCCAAATTCAATTTACTCTCTGCAGATTTCAAAATTTCTCGGAGAGCTTCTAGTTTTGTTTTCCGATTTTGTTGAACTAATTCTTTGTTCAATTTTTTTCCCCCTTCTTCTTTTGTTGATTAGGTGATGAAAGATCGATCGGAGAAGAAGCCGAAGCTCAAAAGCGCTATAATGGCTGCCACAAGGTAGACGCCGGCCTCCCTCTTCAATCTCCGCTTCTACTTCCCCCAAATCCATCCCTCTATGTTAGGATTATTATCTTCTCGATTTCCGGGCTGAGATGGTCAATAATATTAAATATATTTTTAATTTAGGGGTGGATTATGATTTAATGAGCTGTCGGCGAATGCGATGTGACGTCTGGACTGTAGTGTGTAGAGTAGAGTAGAGTACTACTTGCCTTGCCTGCCATTCTTTTCCAGCGAGGACGACGCAACAATTTAAAAAATATTAATTTTGTTGTTAATTCGGCAGGGAAAGAAGATTCGAGTCAATGAGCAAGAGCCTGAAGGTTACGAGAGTAATTTCCACCCTAGTTGAAGAGATGAAAGCCATCGGGATTACCGATTCCCTCCGGAGTAATGACGTCATGGTGCCGGCGGCTTACAGCGAGAGGAGCCCCGTGCTGCTGCTCATGGGCGGCGGGATGGGCGCCGGCAAAAGCACCGTCATCAAGGACATCCTCAAAGAGTAATAGAAAACAAAAAAACGGATCTCTAGGCTATCTATTACTATTCTAATCTCGATTCGCGAACTTAAATTTAAATTACTGATTGATGCAGGTCGTTTTGGGGAGGAGCAGCCGCAAACGCCGTCGTAGTGGAGGCTGATGCGTTCAAGGAGTCGGATGTGCTTTACAAAGCTCTCAACTCCTTCGGCCACCACGACGACATGCTTCGAACCTCTGAACTGGTAGCAATCTTAATCTAGGGAAACTAATGAATTAGTGGTCTAAACTAAATTGAAAATTTACTGATCTATTAGATTGACAGGTTCATCAATCGTCAACCGATGCGGCGTCGTCGCTGCTGGTGACGGCACTTAACGAAGGGCGTGACGTGGTAATGGACGGCACCCTGTCGTGGGAGCCATTCGTGGACCAAACCATCGAGATGGCACGTAACGTCCACAAACGCCGGTACCGCATGGGGGTCGGCTACAAGGTCCACGACGACGGCACCGTCACCGAGAACTACTGGGAACCTGTAGATGATGACGGCCCGGAAGTAACGGAGGAGAACGGCGAATCGCCGTCGGCAAGGACGAGGCGGCCCTACAGAATTGAGATGGTCGGAGTCGTCTGCGACGCCTACCTCGCCGTTGTCCGAGGAATCAGGTATTTTAAAATGTGTTTTGTGTTGTTGTCGATTTCATTACAAAAAAATTCGAATGTTTTGATAGACAGTGGAATTGAAAGTTGATGATTTCTCTGTTTTGTTTTGTGATTGAACAGGAGAGCGATAATAACTGGGAGGGCAGTGAGGGTGAATTCCCAGCTAAAGTCGCACAAGAGCTTTGCCAGTGCCTTTCCAAACTACTGCCAGCTTGTGGATAATGCCAGGCTCTATTGCACAAACAGCGTAGGAGGCCCGCCAAAGGTAATTAATTATATACCGTCATCATCTGTTTGATTGTATAGATTAGGATATGCATTTTTCTTTAATTAAAAAGGAGATGGGTGAAATTGACGTTGAAAATTGGCCAAATTGTTAAATATGCAGTTGATTGCGAGGAAAGATGGAGACAACAAGATGTTGATTGACCCAGAGGAGTTCAAGTGCTTGAGCAATGTGGCTCGCCTGAACCCGAGTGCGGAGTCGGTGTACGAGCTTTACGGTGACCCGAGCCCAATTCAAGAGCCCGGCTCGGTTTGGAAAGATTTCGTCTTTGACCCATCCAGGCCCAGCGTTCAAAAGGAGCTGACAACGGTTATACAAACCATCGAAAGCCCACTGGCAGCCCATTGAATTACGAGGAGATATATAATATATTGGTGCTTTCTCTTTTTTATTTTCATGAAACGACGAGGTTTGTTGACACTGCTTGAGATTTTGTGAAGTGATGGTGAAGGTTTGGAAGTATAAAAACGAAATTGTAAATTTCGGGTACTGCAGTTAGCCAATGTTTGTAGGCTGCCAATTGCCAAAGCATCTAGTAGAAGGAGAAACACAATTAAAATATGAAACGGCTAGTTTGTAGGCTATGTTTAATAATACACGTATAGGTTACTATACATATTTTATCCATTTAAAATTTCCGTATCCGTAATATTGTCAAACTATTTCATTTTTCCCTGTTCATTTGATGGCTCCCGTACTAAATACGTATAAAACCCATATAACACATTTAATATCCATATTTAATGAATTAAATTTTTAACTGTACTATTATATTTTTATTTATTCTAAAAAATAATTAATTTTATGTATTTATCACTATTAACGTAATATTAAACGTAAAATTAGTTTAGAGACGAAATAAAATACTCAAACATATTTTATACATAATTTTTCCGTACCGTATTCTATTAATTGTGTTCATGATGAACACTTCCACCAATGGGGTAGGAAAAAAGTCAATGGTGCCGTGAAAATGAAGGTTACTCATGACATAAATAAGTTTGATAAATCCTTGGCCCAAATGCGACCAACAAAGTTAGGTTTATCGGCTACTTTTTATACGAAGAATTGGATAGTGTTGAACCCTCTTATGTAGCTAGTTGTTATTCGTAATTTGGAATCAGACTATCATGCAATAGACACTATGATAGGCTATGACTAGGGGTGGCCCTTGGTCGGTTTCGGTTTAACCGAAAACCAAAATTCCGGTTATTGAATAGCCGAAACTCACCCAAATAAACGCCGACCGAGGACCATGTTAGGTTAACCGGCCAACCGATCGAGCGGTTTTCGGTTTTGATTTCAGTTAGTTGTGAAACCGAAATTGTGATGGTCAGATAAGTTTTAACCGATAAAAAAGAGGGAGGGTTGATGGCACGATTTATTAAAAAGAAGAAAGAATAAGAAAAGAAAAGAGCGAATAAGAAAAAATAAAAAGAAAAACCCACCCAGCACCTCACATTTCTTCTATCTTCTTCTCTCTTCTTCATCTTCTCTCCTTATCTGCTTCTTCTTCTCTCCTTATCTTCTTCTTCTCTCCTCTCCACATGTTTGGTCGGACAACCGACCGAGCGGTTTTCGGTTTTGAGTTCGGTTAGCCGTGAAACCGAAATTGTGATGGTCAGGTAAGTTTTAACCGATAAAGAAGAGGGAGGATTGATGACACGATTTATTAAAAAGAAGAAAAAAAGGAAAAAAGAATAAGAAAAGAAAAGAAAGGATAAGAAAAAATAAAAAGAAGAACCCACCCAACACCACACGTTTCTTCTATCTTATCTTCTTTTCTCCTTATCTGCTTCTTCTTCTCTCTTCTTTATCTTCTCTACTTATTTGCTTCTTCTTCTTCTCTCCTCTCCACATGTTTGGTCGCCCAACCGACCGACAGGCGAGGTGGTTCTCGTCGCCTCGACCTGAGGCAGAAGAGGAAGGGGTCGAGAGCGGACGACAAGTTCAGGGACGGAAGGCGACGAGCGGGACAACGGGAACTAGATTTGCAGATTTGGAGTTGATGTAGCCGGATGTAAGAGGAAGGGCGACCGACGGGGTGTTTATCGCCGCCTCGACATGAGGCAGAAGAGGAACGGGGCAAGCGCGGGCGGCGAAGTCGGGGTCGAAAGGTGGCGAGCGATAGAATTTGGTAGTGGAAACTGGTGGGTGATGGGATAGGGATTAATTAGGTTTTTGTTTTGTTGGGGTGGTTGAATCTGTTGGTGGACACGACATTGTTTGGACATTTTGGGGGGTGGAGGTTGGTTAACTTAGGTTAGCCGGTTAACCGCGGTTAACTGTTTCCGGTTACTCGACTAACAGAAACACACCTCCCTCCCTCCGAACACCGACTGCTTGTTAGGTTTGTTGGTTTTTGGTTAGCCGCTAACCGACGATTATCGATTGAACCGATCGGTTAGCCACTAACCGACAACTGAACTACCATCCCTAGCTATGGCCCTTATTCCCAATAAGGTTTTATCGATTCCTAAAAAACTCAGACCAACCAATTTGTGTAGAGTTATCTAAAAATCAGTTTTCTAAAGTACTAAAAATCAGTCTCAAAACACCTTTTTCCCCGGGTGTTTTAATGCCGACAATATAATTAGAGTTTTTGAGTCTTTGAAGAAAAGGAAAAAGGGCAAGAAACATAATTTTTCACAAGAGTGGACATACCTCCAACTTTCCAAGGCTTATGTTCAGGGCTGCAAACGAGTCGAGTCGAGTTTTTGCCTAATTTGAGCTCGGCTCGTTTATAAATTTTTCAGCTCGAACTTCAATTTTGATAATCCAGCTCGAGCTCGAGCTCGGCTTGAATAAAAATAATCTAACTTGAACTCGACTCGGTAGAGCTCATTAAATGCTCGTTAACACAACTTTTTTTATATAATGGTGATATATTGCATAAATAAAAAGAAAACCAAAGTCATAACATCCAAACAAAGAACACAAAAAACATATAAAGACCGGATCGCCAGCAATGAACCTGCCTGAAAAACAAAAGAAGAAGAAACACGAGAGAAAGCAAGGGAGCAAAACAGCCAGCCGGAAGGACTCGACCATCTCACAGCGTAGAAAAGGGAACAGAATATAAGGGGGCAAAGACAAACCCCAAGCAAAAACCAGAACTGCCAAACAGAAGCCGAACAGAAAGACTAGGCAAACAACACCCAAAACACGGAGACAACTCCAAACAATCAAAGGCGAACCCGCTAAAGGAAAACCCTTAACCAGCTAAGACCCTCGCTCTTTCCCACCACTCCAAACGCCAAAGCCCAATCAAGAGCATTCCTAGCACATAAGCACGCAACATCCTTAGCTTGCAGACACTCTTGTCGAAACATACGTCGATTCATTTCCTTCCACACATTCCAAGCCACAACATGAAGGAGACAGAAGTGGAACCAACCCGCCACATTAGACTGCCGTTCGGTCGGCCAACATCTGATGGCTTCCACAATATCCCCCTGTCGAACAACACCCAAACTGAGGACAGACAAAAGTCTTCCCCAAATCTCAACAGCAAACGCACACTTAGTAACCAAATGGTCAATAGTTTCTTCATTGCATCCACACAGCTCACACCTGTTAGCAAGCTTCCATCCCCACTTCTTGAGGTTGTCCAGCGTAAGGATTCTTCTATGCTAAACAAGCCACAAGAAGCTGCAAACTTTAGGAGGAACCACCTCTTTCCAGATCGCAGCAACCGGGAAATCTATTTCTCCTTGCATCCTCCTTTCCGCTACGCACCTGTAAAGAGATCTAACAGAAAAGGTAGACTCTAGGTTTGGAACCCAGACAACTCTACAAGGACCCTCCCTAATAGAAGAGATATCAATAGAATTAAGTAAATCAAAGAGGGCCGCTCTCTCTCTCTGCCCCTCCCCGCAAAACACATAGGAAATGAATATTTCAACTTACCCTATCACCGAAGGTTTCTGCGACGTCAGATAAGCAAGCTCCCTGGGACGAGGCAACGGTAGCAGCGCGGCGAAAAGAATCAGCGAGGACGATCCCAAGAATCCATTTGTCATTCCAAAACGAGACCCCAGCTCCACCCCCGGATCAACATCAACTTGTCAAGCTGATTACCAGCTCGGCTCAAGATGAGCACGATTTGAAATCATTCTTGCTAAAAAAATGTGTAAACATAAAAATTTAAATGATAAAAAATACACTAGAAAACTAAAAATAACAACTAACTTCCATACACATTCACATTCACAAAATAATATTCATGTTCAGAAGAGTAATTAATCCTTCCACAAACTCTAAACAAAACAGTTCGCGAGCTTAGCTAAACAATTCACCTAGTCAAGCTAGCTCACGAGCTTATCAATCTGAGCATGGTCTAGCACAAGCTTGGCTTGTTTACTAACGAGTTGGCTCACGAGTCCGCTTGTTAAATAATGAACTGAGTGTCGAACGAATTTTTCTCGATTCGAACACGGAGTTGCTCACGAGTGACTGGCTCATTTCCGGCCCTACTTATGTTAAAGTGAATGAGTGAGAAAAATATATTTTTAAAGGTGTACCCTTAAGTTGCTACCTGTCATTCACAATTTTTTTTATTGAACACACTAATCAACATCTCATCAGATGGGAGCAAAGATAACTTTTTTTCAAATATTGACGGAATAAAAAATATAAGGCCAATACTACGGTGTCGCAGTAAAAAGTGCGGCACCGGTGACGCGAATTTTTATTGATCCACGTGGCTTTGACGTGACACGGACTTAGTTAATCCTATCAGGCCACCCCAAAATCGGCTACTCAAACATATGGAAAGAACTGATTTCGTCCACCTCCCATTTCTGTCTTACTTTTTCCCTATTAATTAAAGATATTTTTTTATTTATGGTCTTTCAACTGCATTGTTTTTCCGGGAACAGAAAAAGCGAACGAAAAGGAACTAGAGTTCGTCTTCTTCGATCTCGCGCTCCTTCTCACTTTGAAAAGAAACTGCTCCGCCCATCCAAACTGAAGTCTGAGACATAGGACCCATATACCTCCATTTAACTCCTTCACCCTTTTCCTCCGCGTACATTCATTTTACAAAACAAACGGCAAATCCTTGGTGAAGCATCGACCTTATATCTCCGTAGACGTACTCCGTCGACACCGTAAAGACGATCCGTATGCATAGGAAGGAGCACCCTCCCTCTGCGTCGCCCACGTCGCTCTTCGCGCTCTCCTTGTTGGAACCGTCAAAATTGAATATGAAGTTTGTTGGAGGTGTGTAGTGACTCTCCACAATGACTGCAATCGATACAGATAATTCGAGCATTTGTATGTTGAGCAACAAAGACAATGATTCGGGTCATTTCTCTACTACATTGGTTGGAGATTCATGATAGGGCATTTGTTACCTGTATGTCTAATGATGTTTGTTGATGTTGCAAGAATGTTCTGGTATTAAAATAGGCAGAGCTGTGATTTTGGATATGTTTTGCAGTAGTGTTGCGATGTTGGATCTGTGTTGTTGTCTTTTGGCTGTATTTTATGTTGTGGTATTTTCCATCATTCCCTCTTGTCCACACTTGCTTTCTACTTTGTTTTGCTGGTTGATCCTGAGAGTATGATTGCTCTTTTTTCCTATGCTTTTACCTTGTTTGCTGGTCTCGTTACACCTCTTGGGTACCCTTAGTTGCAATGAAGTAGTCCCGAACATGCCTAAGTTAACCCTTAATCCA